GCCACTATTGAAGCATCCTGGTCTTCTATAACACCTCAGCAGTGCCACAGGCTGATAGCTTCTATGCCATTCCGCATTGAGGCAGTAATTGCTGCAAAAGGGGCCCAAAACAAGTACTGAGTACATATGCATGCTTATACTTTTCAGAGGTCCCATATTGTTCTATGTACAATCCTTATTTTATTGATTGCAAGTAATATTCTAATTTTCTGATTGTGGATTTGGGGTTTTCATGAGTTGTCAGCCATAATCATCACAATTATGACAAATCACGGCTTGAACTATCTTGCTTTGCATGTAATGAGTCTATCTCATATATTAGGTTCACCTTTTAAGTTGCATTACTGAAATAAATGAACTTTTGCATAATATTCTAATTTTTTGAGTTTCACCTGTATTCAACATTCAAGCAACATTTACCCCTTAAACTTTTGAAAATGGATTAAGCAGTACTCTGCCTGTTAATTGAGACTGCAATACTTATGATCCATCCCATAGATCAAGGGTTCCCAATCTTGGCAACTTTAAGACAGGTGGACTTCAACTTCCAGAATTCCCCAGCACAGACAAGTCAACCATATTTTAGCCTGATGTGAATGCAGCCCATGTGGTTAGACCAGGGGTCTCCAAACTTGGCAACTTTAAGACTTGTGGACTAACTTCCATAGCTGGCTGGAGAATTCTGGGAGTTGAAATCTACAAGTCTTAAAATTGCCAAGTTTGGAGACCTCTGGGTTAGACTGTGGACCAGCAATCTCTTCAAAATCGAATTAACTCAGGAATCTCTCATTCTGGTTAATCATAGGCAAAGCTATCCTTCTGTCTCAGCCTTTCTCAGTTATCCATCCAATTATATTCTGACTGCAAAATCCAAATCTTTGCCCACATACCTATTTTTGCATGGATGGCATAACTTGGGAGACGGCATAGTGGAGTGGGCTGATTGAATCTATAGGTTGCAACCAACCCGGAATTTTACTGACCTAGCTAGAATGCTAGCTGCACACCCTAATTTCTTTCTAAGATCTCCAAGGCAACCAACACTGTACCACAGCAAACAAATGGGAGCATAACCAAGCGAAAGGACATCGCTTCCCTCCAGAGACAAGATCTTGCCTGCCTTCCCTATAAATGTCAAACATTGTTTCAAGGCAAATTGCAAAATTGTGTTGACCTCTTGTAGCAAAAACAAATTAATAAAAGAGAGAAAGACAGAAAGGGAAAAAAAAAAAACCCTGATTCCCACAACATGTTTAGTAGCAATAGCAACAGCACTTAGACTTATATACCGCTTCACGGTGCTTCACAGCCTTCTGTAACCAGTTTACAGAGTCAGCCTATCGCTCCCAACAATCTGGATCCTCATTTTCCCCACCTCAGAAGGATGGAAGGCTGAGTCAACCTTGAGCCAGTCAGGATCAAACTGCTGGCAGTGGGCGGAAGGAAGGAAGGAAGGAAGGAAGGAAGGAAGAGCAATAGCAATATACTTAGACTTATATACTGCTTCATAATGCTTTACAGCCCCCTTTCTAAGCAGATTACAGAGTCATCCTATTCCCCCAACAAACTGGATCCTCATTTTACCCATCTTGGAAGGATGGAAGGATGAGTTAACCTTAAGCCAGTCAGGATTGAACTGCTGGCAGTGGGCGGAAAGAAGGAAGAACAATAGCAATAGCACCTAGACTTATATACCGCTTCATAGTGCGTTACAGCCGTCTCTAAGCGGCTTACAGAGTCAACACTTTGCCCTCAATAATTTGGGGTGCTCATTTTACCCATCTTGGAAAGATGGAAGGCTGAGTCAACCTTGAGCCTGGTGGGATTCGAACTGCCAAATTTTAGGCAGCCGACAATCAGCAGAAGTAGCCGGCAGTACTGCACTCTAATCACTACGCCACTGACCTCTAAATTCTGGCCAAAACTACACTCCTGGGTCAAAAATAGCCCATTAGGAACAAAAAGTCTCCACCTACTTTCTTCAGGAAATGATTGACAGTGCTGGTGAATCTTCTTTATATCATTATTTCTTTCTTACATGCTTATCACTGCCACCATCAAGACTCTCAGCAATGTGCAATGCAACTGACAACAATCCATAGCACACATAGTAATCCATAAAATCAACCACAGCCAGAAAAAAGCATCTGGAGCCACATACAGTCTAATGGGAGCATCAATCTGCTAATTAAAGGAGCTTTCCAAAAGAGGTTTTTCGTCATCCTCTGGAAGGTAATTTTGGGCAGACTTTGCCTCTGCAGAGCACAGGGGACAGAAAGATTTCTCAGTAGCAAGCACCACCACCAACTTTTCACATCCATATGATCCAGGATAATTCTTGTCAGGTGGGTCAGTCCGGCAAATATCTCAGCTCCAAGGCCTCCTGCTCTGCTCCTATTAGCTAGGCTAGCAACACCAACGGCTGCAGACAGTGTTTGGTTAGCTGAGTTCTGCCTCCAGAAGTTGTGGGTGCAGCAACACTGGCGGTTTTTAAGAAAAGACTGGATAGCCATTTGTCTGAAATGCTATAGGGTCTCCTGCTTGAGCAAGGGGTTCGACTAGAAGACCTCCAAGGTCCCTTCCAACTCTCTTATTCTGCTAAGGCCAATTTGGATAAAATCCAGGAGCCAGTCCACTGGCAACATATTGAGGGGCAAGGCTGAGAGAGTTGGCGCTGTTCTGACCAAGGCTTATTGAGACAGTAACAAACACATGTTAGTCCCAAACCCCTTTTTTCTTTATTTGAACCGCTGAGAATTTTTAGTCATTCACAGCCCATAATTACTATTACTTTGTAATAGTCCCATGGAAGTCTGCCAAAGTCCTTCGGGATAAGTCTGATAAGCACGCACCTTTATCTTCCTTGAAATGCTGCCAACAACTAAATTTCCAATTAGTTATACAAGGCCAGCCAGAGCACAAATTCAACACAGAGCTTCAGGTTTCAAACCGACCAGTACAAACAAAGTTGCTTCCTGCAAAGGCTCTTGTCCTTTTGCTCCTCCTTTATGTCTTATGGGAGGGCCAATCACCTCCAAGCCTTACTCCCTTTTTTGTCTTAACTGTTGCCTTCTGTCAGCTCTGCGCATGCGCACACTGGGAATAGGCTCCCCTTGTTCCTCTGCCTCACTGCTGCCAGATTCTGGAGGCTCCGGAGTCAGCACATAACTCCCAGAAGGCCCTGGCCCCATCTCTGCATCGGATGCAGGACCCTTGTCCAAGGCCTTCCCAGACTCCTGGACTGGCCCTTGTTCCTCCCCACTGTCCGACTCTGCTGCCAACTTTGCTGGCTGCCGGCGGACCACAACAAGCACTGCTGCTAGTACAATAAGTAGAAAATTAAAGAATAAAATAGGGACACTTCATATTCTTTAATTTCATCTTCCATCAACCTTGGCTCCGTTCCCCTAAAGTATGACTCCAAAACACAGTTGAACCTCTGTATTCCCTTGTTGGTTGGCCATTCTCTCTTAAGTACATCATACAAGGATTTTTTTAAAAATTAACTTTCAGCATATTGGAAAACAAGTGTAAACATACTGTATTTATCAAAAGCAAAAAGTTGTCCTTCGTGGCCCTGAGTTCAGCTTAAGTGACTACCCACAACAGGTTGAACTGATGAGGTCACAATAAACCTCAGCATGGCTAAGGGACAAGAAACTTCTGCATTTTAATGTGAGGGGTTTGACTTGGGAGTTCAGCCTAAAGTTGAATTCCCCTCTCTGGACCTGCAGTATTAACACATTGGGGACACATTGTAAAGGCGTTACTCACCTCTCTGTCGTTAGAACAGCCTCCAAACGGAAATAGTTTTACTTGGCAAAGCAATTCTCTTTTAAAAGCTGTGTGTATCTACGAGACTAGACGTCCCACCTGCACCTAAGTCTCTTAAATTAGACTAATGCATTTAGTCTACTGCTAATGCAGGCTTGGAAGCCTGCACACAACAAATGCCTTAAATATCTTAAAGATGCATCTATACTCGTTCGATATCATATGTTATTTTTTTTTTTCTCCTGCTCTGGAGCAACTCCCCCCCCTCCACGCAAAAAAAGAAAAGAAAAAAGGAAGTCCTGCGAAAGAGCCACCCTCTGCAACAATTTAGCTTTAATTTAATAAAAGCATTCAAAGAACCGCCCTTCTCCTGTCGCTCCAACTCGAATCCCCGCCCTCTCCTCCCCAGCCCTGCGTTTTTATTGGCTACCACCGAACGCAGGGCGGCCCAATCCGCGCGTAGAGCGAGCGAGGCGGGGAAGGGAAAAAAACAAAACAAAACAAAAAACTCGCCGGCTAGAGCGGCTTGGTCGGTTGCACTTCCGGAGTGCCGCGGGGGCCGACGGGAATCCTCGGCTAGTCCCGGAAGAAGGTGGAGCGGTAGCGGCCCGGTTAGAGGGGGTGGGGGAGGGGCGGGGCGGGGGAAGCTGAACTGAGGGCGGCAGGTGAGGACCAAAACAAAAACAAAAACAAAAACCAAAGCAGATGTGCAAGGTTTACAACGTGCCTATAAATAAGGATGACGTCGATGCTGATGTGTGTGTGTGTGTATGTATGTATGTGTATGTATATGTATATGTATGTGTATGTATGGATATGGATATGGATGTACCTGGTGGGCAGAGAGATACACCTGGGCGCAGGTTGCAGAGATAGGCGTATGGGTGCAAAATGGGGCAAGGGTTGGCGGGTGAGGGGAGGGAGGGAGGCCTAGGAGAGACCGGCCAGGGGTGAAGGGGGGGACCTTCAGGGTCTGTAGAAGACCCTTGGGGAAGAGAGAGAGAGAGAGAGGGTGAGATAGGAGTGGGGTTGGCTGTGACTTTGCAAGGGGCCTCAACCCATGGAAGCACTGCAGCTCGTGCCTCCGAGCTCACTTTGGCTGGTCCCATCTGGAAACAACAAAACTTAAGGATGGTCCTGGTCAGTATTTTGATGGGAGTTCTGGGGACTCCAGGCTAGGCTGGGAATTGGGGTGGGTGGGTGAGGAGGAACCCACCGCAGAAGCTATCAAAGGCAAAGGAGGTGTTAAAAGGGGAGCCAAAAACAAGAATAACCCCAACACCAAACAATACAGGTGTGTGGGGTTTTTTTCCTTTGGAAATGGAGCTTGGCAACTGGCAGTGGGGGAACAGAGGGTCTGTGTGTGTGTGTGTGTGTATGTGTATGTGTTAAAACTGGGTGCCGAGAGAGTGGTTGTGAGTGGTGGTTTTATTTTGCTTTGTTATTATATACGTATATGCGTGTCTGTATAGATATGAATATGAATTCTTTTATTGGCCAAGTGTGATTGGACACACAAGGAATTTGTCTTGGTGCATATGCTCTCGGTGGACGTGAAAGAAAAGAAACGTTCATCAAGAATCATCAGGTACAACGCTTAATGATCGTCCTAGGGTACAATTAAGCAATCAAATCATACTAGGAAACAGTCCATATAAATCATACGGATACAAGGAGGGAATTGTTTAGCAGAGTGAATGGCATTTGGGAAAAAACTTCTTGTGTCTAGGTGTTGTAGATACACACAAACACACATATATATACATACATACATACATACATACATACATACATATATACATACATATATACATATACACATACACATACACTCACAGACGAACACAATACAGAAGCCTGATGATGGCAGATGAGATTCTGTCAAAACGTTGCTACAACTTTAAAAGCACAATATATTGACTGGGAAAATACCCGAACAAAGCTGAATACCACACATACGTTTATATATACATATATATACACACACACATATATACACACACATATATGCATACACACACACACACACACACACACACACATATATATATATGTGGATCTTTGGTTGTTCGGGTTTTCTCCCGCGTAAGATTCGAAGTATCTAGGCAACGTTTCGATGAAGTCACATTCATCATCTTCAGGCTTCTGTCTCCGGCTCTGTGCTTCTCAGAGTAATGTGAGATTGCAGCTGCTTCCTCCTTTTAACTGCCAGTGGGGGTGGGACTTGATTGGGTGGGGGCTTGGCTGTGTTCTGATTGGGTGGAGGTGTGTTCTCATTGGTAGGGGGTTTGGCTGTGTTCTGATTGGTTGGGGGGTTAGCCGTGTTCTGATTGGTTGGAGGCGTGTTCTGTTCAGATGGGGGCTTGGTTGTGCTCAGGTTAGTCTTAGTTGCTGGGGGATTTGAGCTGGTGAGTTGTGATCTTGCTGTTTGGCTTCGAGTTCGTGGTCGTGCTGCATCTTCATAGTGGGTGTCGGTTTGCTTCATGTATGGCTCGGAGGGGTTTGAAGTGGGTAGTGATGCAGCTGCAGTGCAGCTTCTGGTCCATGGTCGTGTCTCATCTTCTGAGTGGGTGTGAGTCTGTTTTCTACATGGAAGTGTGGTGGTGGCATCTTGTGTGGCTCTCATGGGTGTGGGTCTGGTGTCCTTCTTCATGTTAGGTACTCGTCTGTTCATGAGGGCGGGTTTCCAAATGGCTGGAAGGCGGGAGGTGTCATCTCGTTTGTTCATGCTGTGTGGGCGTTTTTCTATCTCTATGGCTTCTCTGATTATTCTGCTGTTGAAGTGTTCGGTTTTGGCGATGGTTCTGGTATTTTTAAAATCAATTTCATGTCCTGTGGCTTTGAGGTGTTGGACCAGGGAAGAGGTCGTTTCTTCTTTTTTGATTGAGTTCTTATGTTCTTCAATGCGTGCACTTATTCTTCTGTTAGTTTGTCCAATGTATGTGGTAGGGCAGGCAGTGCAGGGGATTTCGTATACTCCTTGGTTTTCTAATTCGATTTTGTCTTTGGGGTTTCTTAGGATGGTGGATATTTTTCTGTTTGTGCAGAATGCTGCTTTGATGTTGTGTTTTTGGAGGATCTTGCTAATTTTGTCTGTAGTGCCTTTTATATATGGGAGGAGGGCTTTGCCGTTTTCTTGTTCTCTGTCTTGGATTTTGGTTGGGGTTTCTTTTTGGATTAGGTGGGTAATCTTCTTTCTTTGGAATCCATTGGCTGTAAGTACGTTGGTGAGAGTGTGTAGTTCGGTTTTTTGGTGTTGTTCATCGGCTAAGCATTTTGTTCTGGAGATGAGTGTCTTGGCTACGGAATTGATCTGTGCTGGGTGGTGGTGTGAGAGTGCATGTAGATAGCGGTTAGTTTGTGTTTTCTTCTGGTAGATGGTGTGTCCTAGGGAGCCATTGGATCTTTTGTATACCAAGACATCTAGGAAAGGAAGTTGATTGTTGGCTTCTGTTTCCATGGTGAATTGTATTTTGGGGTGTATGTATGTATATATATACATACATACATACATACATACATACATACATACATATACAGAAACATATATAACATTTGAGGCACTGTTTACTCCTGGCAACTTGCCGGGACAGGTCTCTGCAGTTTTGTTTTTTTTAGCAAGATGTCAGAAGTAGTTTGCCATTGCTGGTTCTTCCAGGTTTGGGAGAGAGGGACTGGCCCAAGGTCATCACTGCTGGCTTTCTGTCTTAAGGTGGGGAATAATGCTTATGGTCTCTCTGTTTCTAGCCTAACTGCTACACCAAACCGACTCTCATATTACTTTGCCAATAAATATGCTTAGATTATTTTGCAAATAAATAAATAATAAATATTTCTCTAACAGCTTTGTTCCGTGTGCCGTCCGTCTGGTAAACTCGCAAGATTCATTTTTCTTGCCATGTACATGTATACATCCGAACTAACTAGACTGTATTGTTTCACTGTGTCATACGTGGGTATATCCCTTCCTTCCTTCCTTCCTTCCTTCCTTCCTTCCTTCCTTCCTTCCT